ATTGGCCCACCTCAGACTCGATGGCAAATGCCTCCAGTGGCTTGCCTGTTATCTCACGACAATGCATTTCTTCAGCACGCCTGAACTAACTGTCAAAGACGTCCAATGCTGGTGGCGTGACCCGAATTCTTGCTCTTGACGTGACCTGCACATTTGACAAAGTGTCGAACCGTGGTTTAGTGGACAAAGACAGATGTATTGGGCTTACTGGCCACCTGCTCTCATGGTTGAAAAAGTACCTAGAGGGCCACCATATCCGAGCCGTAGTCGGTGGACAAACATCAGCTACACATGTCATCTGAGCAAATGTGCCTCAAGGAAGCATCCCTGGGCCCACTCTCTTCTTGCTGTACATTGATGACGCGGAGGACCACCTTCCCCAATCAAACAGCCTCGCCACGTACGCAGACGACACAATGCTCTACAGGTGTATTCAGTGTCTCGGCAGCTTCGCAGTCGACTTTGGTTATCTCCAGACCGCCGTCAATCCCCTTGCTGCCTGGGATGCGACCTGGCGAGTGACATTCGAGCGCACCAAGTCATTCCTGCTGCATGTGAGCCACCGCTGTCCACCCTGGGATTGCCCTCCAGTCACATTCAGCGGTGAAATGATTCCTGAAACCCAGTGCTGGAAGATACTCGGTATAGCCTTCTACAGTCAACCGACATTCTGCCAGGAAATTCGACAGTCAGCCCTGCATGCCGCACAACCACTGGGCTACCTGAAGAAGGCCTTTGCAGTGCTTGACCCTGGCTGCCGACTCGCGGTCTACACCGGCTTTGTTAGCCCAGCATGGCATGCTAATCTAAATGGGTGATTCTCAGGCGGTGCTGGCTCAACTACTGTACTGCGGAGAGCCCTGCATCAGATCGCCGAATGAGCATATCTGCCAAGCCTTGAACTCTGGCCCAAAGTTGCTGCTCTCTGCTATCTCTATAAAATCCATTACCTGACAGGCCCACAGATGTTAACCCGAATGCTGCCCCCCCCCCCCCCCCCCCACCTCTCCCCCCTCCCAAGCGGTACCAGCTCACGAACAACATCCTGCCAACACCAGGCAGCAGGCGCGGGTGGCGACTGGTCACTGCTACCAGCTGCAGTCTCATATCCCAGCCAATTCCCGCAGCAACATCCGTCGGTGGTTCTCTGAATGAGTGCTGGTCATCTGGAAACAGTTGCTTTGCCAACACCTCCGGGATCTGCCCGACTAGAAAAGGTTGTAGTCCTTCAAGTTCCGCGCTCGAGCCACTGGGACTACAACCGACCGGTTGTAGGGACTCTGCGTCGTGGTTTGTGGACAGTGAGTCCACGCACAATTATCATGGATGGTTATGTGCTGCGTGCATAGGCGAATGTTTGTGTGTGTGCGTATGTACATCGGTGGTATGTGGTTGTTTATGTGAACGTATGATAATAATCTCTTTATTAATATGCGCATATGTGTGTGTTTGATGCGCCCTAGCTAACTTATAAGTTATGCACGTAGATATTGTCAATGCTGCCTTTCAACTGCACAGGTCCACCGCACTATCGTCCGAGATTTACATAATAATATTATGTAAACAAATTGCGGGGATACAATAATTTGATAAACGCATTAAATAAGACAAGCTGAATCGACATTGGTGGATACTTTATACAAAAAATGAATGTAGAACGACTGAGACACTCCTACCTAGCGTATCACCGGCTCCCACACCAACACCAACAACGCAATCTACAACAACCACAACAAACCACCATGCAATCCCACTATTCAAAGACCACGATGATCAACAGCCAACTACAACAGAAGCTACACATCCAACGGACAAGGGCGAATGGAGGACGTGACAGCAGGTTGACGCCCGAGTCAAGTTCAATGGACCGGGCCAGGCGGGATGGACGAAACAAAGAGGGCGCAGAGGAATTGGAGGAAAGAACGGATGGCGAAGGAAGCAGTCTGTCCAAAGATTTGCGGTTTCTAATAAGACAAACACCGTATTTTCCGGTTGTGAATCGACCTTTCACGACTGAAAATAGAAGAAGAAAGGTTGGGGTCGACTTACAACCGGGAATTATTTGTATGTTTAAAAAATGACCTGCACTGCATGCACGAGTGCACCGTGTGCACACATTTGTGCCAGTTTAGTGGCCTTTTTCAAGGATTGGGACGTTATACCCTCCACTAAGGAATGTATACAGGATTTGTTGATGTGTTAGTAGCAGGGAGTAGTTAGTAGTGGTTCGTTAGGTGATAACTTTAGAGCGCAGAATTAAAACCTCCAGAGACGGTGTCGACTTATAACCAGAGTCGACTTACAACCGGTAAAATACGGTATTTAAAAAACGCGATTCGCGTAATAGGGGATTCACACGACGGGCAAACTCACGTGTGTGGTACTCTTTTTACGTTTGTGCTTTGGGCGCGTGTAAAAACAGCGAGAGTACTTGATTATGGTACTCAAGTTAATGAGTACACAGACCCATGCGAGATTTGCACGGGTCTGTTCTCCGTGTGAATCCGATGGGCAGCTTGTCCACTTTTATACAAACGTGTTTTCATTCATTTTCACGTCCTATGAATAGCCTATAAGTATAATAGTACTGGTTTAGGGCGCACTCACACTGCGACCATGAGCACGCGTCCATGCGTCAGCAAAACGCAGAAACGTGGCAGTCGTGCTCACACTAGGCCTCGTTGGCGTCTAGACGTGAAGTTGTCACATAAACTTTACGAATTGCGGTTCGTACCCAAAAGAGTTCATAATAAGAATTTTTCGCATGTTGCATGTTGAAGGAAGTGCTTCGTGGCTCGTCAAAGTTTCTTGAAGTCAACGAAATGGAATCTTAATATCATGTAGGTTTTGAGTCTTGAGAGGCTGACATCCAAGCGCTTTCGCTTTCCTGTCAGCGTGGTCAAAACAAATGCCAGTGGAAATGCAGGTAGTTTCCGTTTCTTTTGTTTGTTGCTGAGATGAAAACTGTGTTTTCGTATGATACGGAACTGAATTTCTTGAGGTATAGCATTCTTTCATCACAGAAAAGTAGAAAAGGATGATTTCCCAAACCGAAAGTGAACGAGGACACTGTAGAAACTGGTCACCGACACGATCAACTGACAATGAAGCAAATAAAAACAGATTTGAAATCGTCCAAAAAGGGCAAAGAGTACATACAATCATGTATATGGCGGTGCGCGCGTGCAGGACTGCAACTACAAAAAGTGCAAGAGGATGACATCGACAACGGCCGAGTTTCATGAATCAACACACCGGAATTTGAGAAATTGAACCTACTTCCGGCCAGGTTGTACACAAATACGCTTTACGTCTACGATCATGTCGCCGCCAACGCCGCTAAGTGGCGGCACCCCCCTCCGGAGGTTGCGGTTACGATTGGAAACGTGATCGCGACGATTTGGTCAAGTTCATTACGTTGTCATGTAACTTGGCCGCATGGCCGCATGGACGCTGGTTTTGGTCGCAGTGTGAGCGCTCCCTTAGAGCAAATCGCATGACCCGCAAGCTTGTTTTCTTAGTCTGCACTTTACAAAATTAATGGGTTTTATATTTCTTTCTATTGACTCTCTTAGTGCCACTTGTGTAAGAATATATTTTTTGGAGTTAAGATGAACTCAACGTTTTCATAAATGAAGCAGCTCAGTTATATCCCCACGGATATTTTCGAATGATGGATTTCTGGAATGATACGGAGGACAGGCAAACCACAGTGAAAAGAAAATCGTCTTCCTCACGAGGGTTCCTGAACGAAGTTCGATAAATGCCTTTTCCTGGCACTTGCGCTTTCCCACTCGCGGGACCAATTCCAACGACGTTAAGTTTCAACGCAGGAAATTCGGATATAGTTAACTTGAAACCCACTGAAAATGTCAATGTTTTTGATAAACAATATCATGGTTTGCCACTAAAAAAATAGAAAAACCTGCGTTGTGCATGCTTCACGTTCTCTACTTGCGACAATTTTGTTCGTCCGAGCGAGCACACTTCCGGCTTTGCCCTGGTTATATCTATCCTTACTGACAGAAAACCGATGTGCCGAATCGATTGCCAAGGTCTTGCTGAACGCATAGATAGGTCGATTGTTGCTCTCATGTGTGTAAAAGTGAAGAAACGAAGTTATTTGTAAAATTTATACAAAAGAGAAAGACCAAGGAACTACAAGTTACGCTATACTGTCCACTAACACCACCAGTTACTAACCAAGCAGCTCATGCTATGACATTGCACGACACTGACCGACGGTACTGACGTTCTACAACTAACTGGCTAACAGCTCTAGCACATCTAGGATGCGCACTCCAACAGCCTTCCAACTTGGATGGTTCTAAGTTATAGAAATAACATAAGGAGGGGAAGGTGAGCGCAACCAAGATAAGCACGAACGCTCACCTCCCCCTCCTTATGATATTTCTATAACTTTTCTTTTACGGGATGTCGTCGCCGCAGCCCCACCTCGCTCGTTTTCCCAAGTGTTCCGAAAACTTCAACTCAAAGTTTTAGAAAGAAAGAAAAAAAGAAAAAACACGCAAAAAAACAAAACAGCATAATAATGTATAATACCTACTTAGGTCAACAGCAGCAAGTTCAACTTCAAGTCTACAGTCTACAGTCTACAGTGTGGTCGTATACGCACCTAGTGGATCTAGCAATCACTGAAATAAACTATTTTTTGGGGGCAAATAAACTATTTTGTTGCATGCAATATTGCATATCTTTGGCCGCGGCGCGAAAGGTGCTGATTCGCTGGAGTACGGGCAACAATCACGTGCCATGTGATAACTGGAGTTCATTCCCCTTATTTACTTTTTAATTTTTTGTTGAAACCCTGTGTACGGGGAAATATGGTACTCATTATGGGCTCCTTACGCCGTCCACGTTACTTAGAGGGTTAACATAATAATGTGGATTTTGTAGAGAGAGAAAACCCCCTTATTTTGCACTTACTGGGTTCATTAAAGAGAATGGTGGACAAACATGATACATGTTCTTGTCTGCAGCTCCTACCAACGCAAAGTGTCTACAGAACCTTCAGTTCGCATATGGAACAGTAAGCTATCCGTCAGGCAATGTCTTTCCATCTCAAGGATTCTACACCTGCAACCCAGGGTACTTTATCACTGGCACAAGAGTCGCTGAATGCGGGCAGGATGGCAGCTGGGGGTCTGCTACGGCATCTTGTACAGGTAAGTTGGTTGTTAAACGATGCTCTTCCATAAGTAGTACTTTGCTCTCACGAAATGGCGATCAATTGTGAAGCACAGCCGGACAAACCTGTGCAAGTATAATCGATGTTGCATAGTCTGACTTTTCTTCTTGGTACTCGGCCTAGGCGCACTGATTGCTCTTCAAAGACCTAACAAAAAGAAGGAACCACCTGGAAATCTTTGTCCCATAGTGCTTCTAACTGCCCTCAGGAAGGCGGGGTCAATTCTCACGTTGAAACGCATCTCACATAGAGTTAATACCTTTCTCAGTGACAACCAGAGCGGATTCCGGGCAGGACGATCAACGGCAGATGCATTTTGGTGTTACAAATGGCTTGCAGCAACAGCCCCGAAATAAGTATGTCATTGAAATTCTCGGTATAGACATATCAAAAGCATTTGACACCATTCAGTGACACCGAATTCAGGCCGTTTAGGAGAACGCCCTACTTCTGGATGACGTACGTTTGGTAAAGTTACTCATCGCTAACACGACGCTGAGTGTTCGATTTTGAAGTTTCGAGTCAACCCCCTTTCCACACAATAGGCACTCCATTGGGAGATTCACATTCCCCTATGCTATTTGTAGTCTATCTAGACGCAGCACTGCGGGATGTCGTCGCCGCAGCCCCACCTCGCTCGTCCTGCAGATAACACTCTACCAGTCTACATCATCTACGTGGACGACACCGATTTTGTCAGTACTTCATCTGCTTGGCTAGCACAGCTTGAACCTCTTACCGCAACAGTCCTCGAGCAATGGTATCTCCAGCTCAACGTAGAGAAGACCGAACACAAAAAACTCACCCGGCAGCAGGATCGAGTCTCGGAAGAATGGAGAATGACGAAAAAGTTAAGTTCCCAGATTGGTGACGACAAAGACATCCCCAAGTAGCTCGTCACAGCATCCTACAGAGCAATGTATAGTCTTTGAAAACAGAGGACATTAGTGCGTGAAGAATTGAATCTGAGGCTGTGCAACGCATTGATGATTCCAGTCTTACTGTACAACAGCGCCACCTGGACACCCACTTCAATGGCCGAGGCCTAACTGGATTCGATGCACCGCAAGCAGTTGCGTAGTCTCGTCGGTATTAGGTGGCCTCAAACAATAAGCAATGCTGCTCTCTACAAGAGGTAAAAAGCACAACCCATAACTAACTTTGTTCGCCTAGCCAGATGGAGACTCTTTGGCCATATACTGTGCATGCCTGACGGATGCTCTGCGGTGGCGGCTACGATCAACTACTACCAGTTCAAGGAAAAGGTGTGGTGAGGACGGCCAAGAACGACTCTGCCTAATGTGCGTGACCTGCAGAAAGTGGGGGAGGGGACTCAAGACGTTGTCTGATCCCCTTTCCCTCCAGGAGATTGCACAGGCAGAGGGGAGTGGAAGGACCTTTGCAAGGACCTCTGCAAGTCCCATGGTGGCGTCTACGACTAAAATCAAATAAAATCTCTCCAAAATATCACATTAATGCTTTTCATAACTGCTTTGGTTACATCTTTAATACCAACAAAATTCCACTCTTAACATTGTGCGTGGATTTGCATCCACCTGCCAACATTTCACTGGATTTTTCTCAAAACGGAGTTGCCAATGCCCTTTATCCTGTGTCTGCGTCCGCTGACATCGACGCTTACGTGCATAATAATAACGAGAGAGCTTGGAAGCTCAGGGCCCTACGCTATGCTTTTTTGCCTTGATGACCTAGAAAAAAAAGCATAGGGATGTTACAAATTCTTATAAATTTCTACTTTTTGTTTTTAGACAAAACCTGGGATTAGAACCTGCACTATCGCCCTGCATGCATCCCCCGATACACTTCGCATACATACTCATTCTTCCAAGTTGCTTCAGGTTATGATCTTGTACTTGAAAGCCCTATTTGAATATGCATTGCGGTCAGCCGTCTTTGATTGTACTGTACGGGACGGGACAGGTACGGGACAGGTATGGGACAGGTACGGGACAGGTACGGTTGAGGGTAATACGACACCATTTACCGCCTTGATGACGGCAAAAAAAGAATAGGGATGTTATTAGTTTTTCAATTTTCCTATTTTTTCAGACATTACCTGGGATTCGAACCCGCACTATCGCCCTACATGCATTCCCCCATACACTTCGCATTCATACTCATTCTTCCAAGTTGCTTCACGTTATGATCTTGCGTTTGAAAGCCCTATTTGAATAGTGCGGCCAGCTGTATGTGGCCAGCTGTGTTTGATGGTACGGTACGGGACAGATACGGGATAGTGCCAGGCGTGACACAAGCACACAAACACACAAACAAACAAACACCAAATTAAAGCTGTGTGGACCCTGGCTAGCGCCAGACGTTACTGAAGTAACGTCTTCTACATAGCTACGGAAATAATAATAATAATAATAATCTTCACTAGTTTGAGGGAAAGAGACAAACGGGAAAAGTCTGAAGAAAAAATTGACTGTCACCACCAGGACTCGAACCAGGGACCCTCGCTTGTAGCTAGCGGTGCTCTAACCACTGAGCTATGGTGTAGTCGTCATCCCAGCAGAGACTGTTCAACATTTTCTTCTTTAATAATAATATGCAGCCAAAAATGCAGCCACTTCATCTCGCATCCAAATATACATCACCTCCAGACTGTCGGCTTGAATTCTGTCCAAAAACGATAGATAACTTTAATCTAAATTCCAGGTTCATATCCAAGAAGAAAATGGAAGAGCAACTGCTATGGTTTCTTTATCTGGCAATAAAAACATGGGAAATATAGTGCCACACGATAGCAAAGGATAAAGGGAAACAAAAACAGCAGAAAACATCACACTGCTAGCTCTGCCACTTGACATGGTTAGCATTTTACCATACACCCTGACCATGGGACTATACCGTTTTTTTGTTTGTTTTCAAGACATAGTTGGCATTTTCGGTTTCTGAACTGTAACGTAACCCCAGTTAGAATCTAAAAGTTGACAAAATTGCTTTGGTTCCGGTGGTGAATATCTCACCTACACCTTTGAAGCTCAACTCGCTGTATCTGTCATTCGTATTGCGCCAGATCATCCTATGTTTGGCGGTAGGATTTGTTCTTACGATTTGTTTTGGTGCTGGCGTTAAATGTCTCACTTACAACTCTGCCACTGATTCTACTATGCGGGATTATGCTGTTTTGGCGGTAGGACTTTGTCATAAAACCGCTTCTTTTTGGCTGGCATGGCATCATTATTTCATTTCTTACCTGACGATGGCAATTCTGCCGAAACGTTGTGCATAAAATCAATCGGTTTGTTTTGCAGTGCTGTGGGAATGGGTGTGTCCACACTACTTCTCTCTACGGATGAAGCTGCAGGATGCCTCGAAATTACTTCTCATTTCTCTTCAGTTCCTAAAATAGCAGTTTGATGTGTGTTTATGTGGGTGCATGTTGGGAAAACGAATCTGCATAGGTGTTTAACGTTGTGCGGATGTATGTATGTATTTGTTATGGTTGTATATTCATGTGTATGTCTGTATGTTTGTGTTCGTCCTCATCTCCAGCTTACAAATGTCCTGCGCCAACCCTAGCTAACGGCTTAATAACGGGTTGTGCTCCTGTGTACACGGCTTCATGCAACAGTGGATATCAGCTATCTGGCAGCACCACTGTCACTTGCATGAGTGCAACCACAAACACACCTGTACCAACATGTGTCGGTATGTAATCTACCTGTGTGGCATGCGTGTTATTTGACGTTCACGAGATCCTGATCAGATTGTTATCAGGTTGTGGATCAGGGCGACTCTGGGGAATTTATTTTCACCTACTACACTGCGGCAGATGCGGAAAACTCGGCTTCCAGCCGAGCCTCGCGCGAACCGTGAAATTTATTTAATTTTTATTATACTCTTGCCACTTTCCCTCTCAACAGCTTTCAAGTGAGAGCCAGGGATTAGAGAAACTTTATGAGAGCATGTCTGCGAAAACCAGAAAAGCTGGGCTGGGCCTTCTCTCCGATTTCGCTCAAATTTTGCAAGTAGGTTTCCTTTAGAGTCTACAAAAACCATGCAAAAAGGATCGTTGCATAACTTAAGGACACCTTGGAAGTGTGGACCACCTCGAAAGTGGCCCAAAAATACGACTAAATATTGGGTCCAAGAACGAGCGCTGGTACAGAGTGCACAATTGAGCTGAGAACAAACCACCGACATACCAGCATTGCCTCACCTGAGTAGCCTTCACATCACCACCACATATCGCCATGGCTACATCCAGGAAAGCAATGGCCGTTATCTCCCAATGTCAATAATTGCATCTCTAAAAAAACAAATTTCAAGGGCCTTAGAAGGAACCATTTACGGCGTCTATTTTCTCAACCATGCACTGTGGGACAGTGGACTATCTCCATTACCACCCAGGACATGTCTTGTAAAAAGAGTTCCCCGTTTCCTAGAAATAAAGAAATTTGAATATTTTCACTTCACCACATTGCAACATTGCCAGTTTTATACCCGACGACGTAAAGCTCCTCCTCAAGCTCCAACACCAGGCACCGCTCCAGATGCCAGCACGCCAAACACTGCAGCTTGGTCACCTCTACCAAGTCTGACAAGAAATTTGAACAGACAACCCTTGTCACTCCAAACAACAACAAATTCCTTCCCTGAACGACTCGAATTTCACTAGCAGCAAAGCTCTACAGAAGTGCAAACAAGATTGAAGAAATCTCGATTTTGGCGATAAAGCACTACATTTTTGCGTCCGGAAACTGGCCGTGCGCCGACCACCGCGTGACATATCAGATCGACGGATTTGATCGAGTTGATCGACAGTCAAGATCAGAATCAAAATCTGGATGATCAGGTTGATCGGCAACATCAGTTTAATATGCTATGACCTATCCCAACATCTTGCCACAACCACGACTACATAACTCCACAACAGTTCGCCTACACCCTTCACAAATCCACTACAGATCAGCTCATTTTGCTTACCCACCAGATAGCAAACTGTACGGACATCGGTCGTGATTATGTGAAGAATTCTGGACTTCCAGAAGGTCTTCGACCGTGTGGACCATCAAGTCCACCTTGCAAAATTCAAGAACATCACTGACGCTCGGAACGACCACACTTTAGACTCTTTCAAAGAGGTTAACCCTTATCGTCTCCTTGGCTGCCACTTAGCAACTAGATGTTATGACTATCTAAAAGCTTATTGACCAGTGCGGGAATGAGCGTTTTCTGGATGTGCATGAACTAGCAAAGTTCTGGAATATTGTGAAGGCGTTGATGCCTGTCACATATATTCATTTATGTAACGTCCTTACAGGGATACCTCTTCTGGAATAGTATTTGTTGAGTAGATACACCACATTCGATAGACACGGTTAAGGACATATCAAGTATTTTGCTAGAATTGGACGATGTGGGGCTTCCTACTTGAGCTTCCTACTTTCACCATGTAAAACATATGGTTCTAGGTGGTCTACACTAAGAAGACCATTGTTAGTTCTTGCTACTTCTACCTTCTATGTCTACCATCTTTGCATCCTACAATATAATCTTGAAAATTAAATCGCAATGCCAGATTATTTGCAATGAAGTTAGATGGTAGTTCACTTCAATTTACCAGCGTGGTTAATACAGCAACTCTTTCTTCTCCATCAGTTTCTTGACCAGTAATGCACTGATCATGAAGTTATCAGTTATTACTTAGCGATCACCTTCTGCAGAATCCGGAGCCAATGAAGAGAGACGCCATCCCAGCGGCTGCCTACCCGTTTAGCCTGACGTGGGGGAGGAAGAGGTTTGGTTAAAGAGCCTTGTTAGCTCGTCAAGTAGTTAGAAAAGATGATCTACACAGCACCATCCTGGCGATAATGTGGTGTACCATCTCCAGGTTGCAGAGCTGCGATTCCTCTTCCTCAACACTATCCATTTCGGGGTTTCCACCACTCCTGCAACTGTTTCTTGCAAATCCATGTCTGGACTATCCCGCAATTCTTGTGGGCTCACTCTCTGGAGGCTCGTAAACCTCAAGAATTTCTGAATACACAGGTGGTTAGGTGTTGTGACTTACGATTCACCCTTATATCACAGAATAGATCCACCATTGCCAATGGTCACTACACTTGAACATCTATCAACTGAAGATAAAGTGGGCAATTTCGCGTTCTTGGCATAAGATTCATGCATGGCAATAGGCTACATCCATTCAAGTATTTCCTTGGCCGTCAGACCGCACTGGCTCCTCTGGGGCAATTTGCAGGAAAATGAAAGGGAATGAGCAGTATCAAGGACCTTAGCTGAAGAGTGTGTGTGTAATCTGTGCACTAATGTTAACCCGCCCCAAATTCACGATTCTTGCCCGACGGTTGTTTGTTGATCATATATTATTCCGTTCTGTATTCAGCAATTTTACTGCCCATGCACCTTTCTTTTGTCTGGTTGGCATACGAGCAACTCAGTATGGCCGACACCTTCGATAAGTGTTCATATTGTTTCTACCTAGCTGCAATAATGGCTTTTTTAGTGCAGGTGTCAAATGACACTGGTTGGTCGTTCTAGGTATTCGTACTCGCCATTATGGTACATCACCAATTACAATTCAAAGGTTTATGGCAGACGAAAGAAGAAACAAAACTAGGAATACTCGTAAGATTTGAGCTTATTCTGATTAGCCATATTTCGGTAATTCCAAAAGTTTGACTTGCACCTTGTCAAATGACAACATTGGCTCTTCTAGGGTTAAAATAATTTGGAACTTATCACCTCTCCACATTGCACTTTTGGCCAGCATTTAAAGCCTAGTTCACATTCGACGGAACGCTGATGCAAGGACCTGTCGGGAAGGCTGGTGCCAGCTGCAAAATCTGATTCGTATGACACGACATGCTGCATGCTTGTTGCGTCGTTCAACAGCGAACGGCGACAGTCATCCGTGACAGGGTGACTTTTGGACCTAATTTCTTGTTTTTCTGGACTTCTTTTCAATTATGTTTCCTTGAATGAAGTGGACTCAAGTTCACAATACCAGTTTTTCATGAACACCAAAAAGTAGCTTCGAAAGGTGTGCCATTCAAATAATTACTCCAGGAACTGATAAAACAGTTCGTCTCATGAACTATCCCTAAATACCATACCTGACATCAAGCTTTATCTTGCTAAAATTCGACTCAAGTCGTGTTAGCCACTCTGCGAGTTATCATGGGAAGCTCAGTGTTCGAAATGCCAATTTTTTTTTAGTCTGCGCACGCCGCCCTCTCCTGTTCACACTCAAAATGCAGCTGTTTTGTACCCTTGCGTCCCCATCTACGCATGTCTACGTCGGTCCCGTCGGTCCTTACGTCGCGTCCCGTGGCGCCCCGTCGAATGTTTACTAGGCCTAATACATCAACTTCCTCAATATGGTGTGTTGAAAGCACGCCAATGATGAAGTGCTCGTTCTATTATAAATTTTAATCTATTGAATTATTATCTGGCGGGGGGGGGGGGGGGGATCTTGGTGTATAGGTCTCCTTCCCCTCCACTTTTCTGGTGCTGTTGTGGTATCCTGACTCTGATACCAATGTCCAGTGAACTGGCTGCCGACTCACCAACACGGTTGCTTTGTAGCACCCACATTCACCTTGTTCTCTATTGTCTCTTTCCCGGTGGGGCAGTGTTATTCAAGGGAAACATGTGGATTCAACCATTTTCTATTGTCTTCCTATACTGAACTCTATTCACAATGAAGATCCATTCTGTTGTTTCTACAGAGCAATGCCCTGTTCTGGCGATATGCAATGCAATATACGAAACGACAATAAGAGTGGTTGGAACGACTGTGGCGGTATCTTGCAGCTCAGGATTTGAAGAAATGGGACCTGCCACAGTCACTTGCATGACAGGTGGCAGCTGGTCAACAATGCCGACGTGTGCCCGTGAGTTGCTCCATTACCTATCATTTGCTTGCTTGCTTGCTCTCTCTATCCCACTTTCTCTTTTTATTCATCCATACAGTTCAATTTAATAATTACAATCCAAGGTGAGCATACACCTTTCCTGCAAGTGAATCTCCCAAAGCCCTTCATCTATTTTCGAAGTTTTGTTCATAGCGCTGACTTGGAACAAATGGGTACAGCGTTGCTAATGACCGAGGGTTTCCCTACCCTTTTTGAAAGTCCATGATCGTCACTTCCTCAGCTCGCCATCTAATTCTGGTTAAATTATGGCCTTAACAGAGGTGCTGATCAGATGTTTTACGAACCTGTTTAAGCTCAACTGAAGGCCGAATTCCATAAAATAATATGACACAGGTGTTGTATTCTCCTGCAGGTTTGCTGAGTTAAGGGGTTTATTTGCTTTGTAGGATAATAGCAAATCAGAAAATTGATAGTCTAAGGCGGCGAAAATCGCAAGCTCCAGTATCAGGAGTCGCAGATACTGCAAATATTGACAAATCCAACGTAGTGGGGTGTGAAACATAAAAATGGACACATGACGCATTGTCCGCATTGTTTTCAGTGGGGTTGACCAGGCACCATTCGCCATGCATACAGTTGCACTGCCGCCTGTCAGTTGATAGGCATCATTGCATGCAAATATGATCACTCCATATGGTACTCTGGAGCTGCTGACTATTGAACCACTTATTGATGGGGTAAATGCTGGACACGCTGTTATTTACTGCGAGTGGCGCGGGGCTCTACGCACCTCACTGGAGGTGTGAGGCTGGAACTGTACTTGTATCACTGCTGTAGCGTAGTATCTACTTTCCTCACCGTTTGTGCTTGTGTTGTCATGCATATGAAGCAATGCACCCGCCACGACGTGCTTGGCACATCTCTACGCGCGCTGTCACTAGGTACCGCGCTTTGCTTCCTTCTTTTATACTGCTGTTGTTTCCATGTCCACTTCATTCCTGATGATGGTCATGAAGACCGAAACGTTGAAACGATACCCCTAATGGATTTGTGTGAAATGCAGTGCTCTCTTGAGAGTAGGCAGGTTGCCTGCAAACGATTCAAGTATAATGAAGCTGCGTGTAGCGTCTTTCAAATTTTGAAAGAGCCCAAGTTCATTAATAGTTATTTTTCGACATGTGATAAAAGATGGGTCATGTTGTGAGACCAACCGACAAAACCCGAGGAAAGTATTCACTGTTTTTTTCTTCCCAGTTCTCTGAAGGTTATAAACAAACCTTATTCTTACATTCACTGGATATTATCGTGATGTGCTCTTTCTCTTCGGATGGTACCTTGTCGATAATCTGCAGTGCCATGAATTGCATATCATGTTCGCAGACCATAATATTCTGCTACTTGCGTATGCGAAATGCACCCTGTTATTGTGTTTTGCCTCAATTCCCATGCACCTATTCAGCCACTACATGCCCTGCAGCACCTGTGATTACCAATGGATACGTCAGTGCAACTGTGGCTAGTTTCACAATTGGAGGTACCGCAAATGTCTCATGTCTTCCAGGGTATGAAATAACAGGGACTGCCACCATCACTTGTGGTAGTGGTGGTCAGTGGCCTAGTGGTGCTTCTCTTCCTACGTGTACATGTAAGTTTTTCAACTGTCTTTTTCAAACAAACCTTGAACCAGTGTTTCATAATATTTCGTCATGCGTTCAACTATTGTGTAAAATTACAAAAGAAGGTTCTACGTCTTCAGAGAGACCTTGGCTATGGACTACAACTATCGCTTTGACTCATTGGTGCATAATTGGCGCACGACAAATCTCGAAGCTAGTGGGCGATCAAAAATGCGCATTCAAACATTTGGAGTCACCGTCACGCTAAAAATAATTCTGATATCTTCTCGCTTACCTATGCGTTTCGGGGCTGGAAATCCTTCGGGTTTTAAGTATTTTCACAAGACCGTCGTCTGGTTTCTATGAGCCATGATTTTACAAATCAGCGAGCCACTCGTGGTAGATCGCGCTGCGCATATTTTTTGCGCATACCGCGCAACACGCGAATTATGCTTGGTGTTGTAATTTCTATGAGCGGGTGGCTGCCATCATTAGCTTTCCTGAGAGTGGTTGTTTGTAAGAAATGGCCAAAGGAGAGTAGAGATATCACAAAAGTCGTATTTTGTAGACTGAATTGACTGAATTGCGAAAGTTGCAATAATAATGGGTAGTAAAAGGGAGACTTCCCAATGGCGTGTCAAAGGCAACATGATGTATGAGTACATCGTTTGAATCGCTTGAATCCAAGTAGTTCGGGACAGTTTAATCGTAGTTCTACATTGAGTTTGAGCCCCGAATCGAAGGAAATTGTTGAGCACGACGGGGACACTGTTGACGAGGCTAAGGGCGTCCTTGGGGTGCTGTAAGCACATGAAAGATGACCAGCAGGGAAGAGCTTTCCAGGAAACTTTAAATTGTGAAATCCGTTGACAAACGAGCTGCTGTCTTCACGACTGTACTGAAGCACTGAATCACAGTGCTCAGATGCAGTAACCCTGCTTTGAACCCTGAATGCTTTAATAACTCATTTATTGCTGCCTATGCATTTGCGAAAATATCCACTAGGCGAGGGTAATTAACTTCTGAAAAAGGGGATAGGTAGATTCTTTACGGATGTCTTTATTAAAAACTCTGTGTGTGGATGATGGAATGTTTATCATCTTATTGTGTAAATTGCAGTACGAATGTGTCCAGCACTTACCCCACCAATAAGTGGTTCAATAGTCAGCAGCTCCAAATTACCTTATGGAGTGACCATATTGGCATGCAATGATGGCTATCAACTGACAGGGAATAGTGCAACTGTATGCATGGCCAATGGTGCTTGGTCAACCACAACGCCGACATGTACAAGTAAGGTTTGAATCCAATGTGCACAATGCATCATATGTTGATTTTTATGTTTCAGACCCCGCTACGTTTGATTTGTCAATATTTGCAACATCTGTGACTCATGATACTGGAGTGTGCGCTTTTCGCCGCCTTCAACCGTGAAGTAGAATAGTTCGCCTCTCTCTCTCCACAAGTATTTGATACCATACTGCACGTTTATTTATTGCTTCAAGTTATAGATTTTGAACTTGTACGTCGTGTTCTTCGTTTTGAGACTTTGCTTACCGTTCTGTTCTGTTATCCATACTCTGCATTCTCCGCGCCTGCTCTGTTCCTTTCTTCTCTTGCTATTATCATGTTTCCTTTCTTCTCTGACTCACTGACTGTCAACTTGTCTAGTTTTCGAATTGTTTCATTGTCCGCCAGATCGCAGAGATCGTTTCCTGCATCGTAGCTCACGGTTACTTTTCGAACACATTTTTGCGTAGGCATTTTCACGAGTTATGTTGATGTCATGCGCTTTCAGCTACGCGTCATTATTGTGAGCATGCGCATTGCTTTTGCCTTCTGCCTTATTTGCATGCTGCGCTTGCTGCAAAGGTTAGCGTCCCCACGCTTGCTGGCCGAAGCCCCATTGACCGCGCCGCGTGCGTACTCGCACACGTCAGCCGGGCTTCTCCACGTCGCCTTGCCCCGCCCCCGCCGGTTCCGTGGAGTTCCGGTTTTATTTCTCCTTGTTGATTAGCTCTCCCAAGATTGAGTTGTTGTTTTCTATATCCTTAATACCTAATTAATTCAATTCCAAGTATCAGTCCTTTTATTTACACTACTGTCGGAGTCCGCCGTTGAGAGTGCGGTGTGCATGTGCGGAGTAGTAGTGGTGAATAATTGTTGTGCGTGCGTTACACAACAGAGTGGTGCCGAAACCCGCCTTGGATTTGAGGATCGTTGGGTCGTTTGTGTTGTAGTGTTCACCTGTGTTGGTGCGTTTGTGGCAGTGGTCGGTGACCGTGCTTGTTTCCCGCAAGCTGTTCTACTAGCGTTTAGTATCGTTATTCGTAGTGTGTTCTGTTCAGTATGAGTCTCAAGCTGGACAATTTCCTTCGTCCCTTCAAGGGCAAGGGGGACGATTTCAATGCATTTCGCTCGAAATTTGGTGTGTTGGCCAAAATATCAAAATGGACGTCGGATGACGACAAGATGAAACACCTTCCGCTCTTTCTGGACGGCGACGCGTTTCTTGTGTATGATCGATTGTCGGACACCGACAAGGCAGATCCGGATGTTGTGTTCGGCAAGTTGTCATCTGCGTTCGCCGTGACGAAGTCGCAGGCATACGGCCTGTTTGTACAGCGTAAGCTGAAACCCGATGAGTCGGTGGACGCGTACGTCGCCGATCTGCAGCGGTTGCTGGGCCTGTCTGGTCACAGCGCGACTGATGATGAGGATACTGTCGTGATAGAACAGTTCATCAGTGGGTTACCCGTAGAATTTATCCAGCCCCTGCGCATGGCCACAGCTGGGAAAAAATTGAAAGTGTCCGAGTGCGTGGTGCAGGTACGTGCTCTACAAGCTACGCATGCTGATTGTACACGCAGTCCGATGGTGGTCGCCAGTGCTGCACCTGGAGGTAATGGAGGTGCGTCCCGCAGCGTATTTTGCCACCAGTGCCACGAGCCTGGACATATTCAGCGGAACTGTCCTCGCCGAAAGAGGCACCATGATCGGCATGGCGGTGGAGAACGAACATGCTTCTTCTGCGACAAGCCTGGCCAGGTCAAGTCTACGTGCCCGGAGCGCAAAGCTTGGATGGCGGCTTCCGCTGGCAAATCTGCTGCCGGGGTGTCAAAAGCTGACAAGAAAGCCCCAGTCCTGTGCATTTCAAGTGCCTCTGGTCCTGGCACCCTCCCGAGAATGCATGCGGACGTACGTCGTTGTGGTGTCAAGTGTAACTGGGAACGTGTCACCGCTGTTATTGACAGTGGGTCAACCCATACACTGATCTCTGCTAGCTGCACCTCAGTACTGCCCGCCAACTGCCCGGTCGATCGCACGTCGAATGTGCTCGTTGCCTTGGATGGCCAACCATTGCCTGTCGTTGGGACTGTTCGCCTGACGCTGAAACGTACTGACGGCCCAGTCCATCTCTCACCAATCGAGGTTACAGCCACTGTCGTCAAGAGTTTGGATGCTGTGGATGCCTCCGTGCTGATCGGGACAGACCTCATTGCTGCAGCTGGTGGTCTCAGCCTACAGTATGACGATGACAACTTATTGTGTGGTGTCCGTTTCGGTCAGGCCGTGACTGCAGCTGTTCCAGGTACTCCTCCGATGGTGCATCCTTCTCCGTATGTGTCCGTAAGTTCTGATGGTGATGACACTGTGTTGCATACGGATGATGGTGAGGCCAGATGGCGCGCGGACAAGCAGTACTGGGAGGTGAAATGGTCCTGGAAAGATGATGTTGCACCCAGCGAGCCTGTCGGCCATGGCATCGGCGAGTATTCTCGCTCCAAGCTGACACCAGACCAAGAGGGTCTTTTCCAGGCCGAGGTTCAGAAGTGGCTGGATAGTGATTTCCTCGTTCCCCATGATCGGGAACTTCATGGTGACCCTGTGGCTGTTCTACCCTTGCTGGCTCAAGTACAGGAGCACAAGGGCACCACACCGGTCAGACCGTGTCTGGACTATCGTCTCCTGAACCGCCGTCTTACTTCGCAGCCTGGTCGCGATGCTCCTGTGTGTGAGGAGGCCCTCCGACGCTGGCGAGGTGATGGCCGCCCTGAAGAGTACTGTTTGCTTGATATCCGCAAGGCGTATCTACAAGTTCGTGTCGCTCCGGACTTGCTGAAGTTCCAGACAGTGATGTGGAACGGCCGTGTCTACACTATGACTCGGATGGGTTTTGGCCTCAATGTCGCCCCGAAGCTGCTGACGATGATTGTCCAATGGGTCACGCGCGACTTTGCAGGCGTCGATAGTTACATCGACGATATCCGCACGCCCATTGCATGCCGTGATGCACTCGCTACTCGTTTAGCCGAATTTGGTCTCCCGACGAAACCTGCCGAGCCACTCATCACTGCTCGTGTTCTTGGTCTGCAGCTCGCTCAGGACGACGATGGCATCGTTAACTGGTCGCGCCGCGCTGGTGTCGATCTACAGCTGCCTCGGCCTGCTACCAAGCGCTCGTTATTTAGCTGGTGTGGTCGTTTGACGGGCCATGTTCCTATCTGTAACTGGCTCCGTCCCGCTTGCAGCTTCATCAAGCGCCTGATTGGTGCGAGCACCGCCTGGGACGACCCGGTCCCCGATAATGTCTTGCGGCTCTGCACGGAGGTTGAAACCAAGCTGCAACAGCATGGTGACCCTGCACGTGGTCGGTGGTGGACGAGCCCTGACGGTGGTTCTGACTGTGCTGTGTATGTCGATGCATCTGATGTTGGCCTGGGTGTAGTCGACAAGCGACATATCAATGTCGTTGAGCTGGAGGCTGCAATCAAGGGCCTTTCTCTCGCCGTGGCCTGGAAATTCTCTTCTGTCCGTCTGGTCACCGACTCGAAAACATCAGCTGCCTGGCTCCGTGATGTCGTCAACAATGTGCGCCGTGTGAAGACAAGCGGCCTGTATGATGTCCTGGTTCAACGCCGCCTGCAGATCATTGCTGACCTTATTGTCAGCGCACAGCTCAGTGTCACCATCGAGTGGGTAGCATCTGCCGCCAACCCTGCTGACGTCCTGACTCGAGTCCCTGCTACGTGGATCCAGCTGAGTAAGAAGTTGACCGCTACTGCGTTAGTGCTGCCGTGACCACTCCGGTTGCCACCATTGTTGGTCCTGTGCTGTTGACTGACATTACTTCTGCTCAGAGTACTGACCAACTGATTCAGACTGTGATCACTCAACTCGAGCAGGATCTGCCTGTTGCTCGTGAGTACAGCAAGGTGAGACCCCAGTTAGTGGTCTGTGATGGTGTTCTGTTTCGCAGTGTGAAGTTGCCTGTTGACGGCCTTGTGCTAGTGCCTGTCATTCCAGTCTCGGTTATCTCTTCTGTGCTGTCTGCCGCTCATGTCAATTCTGGCCATGGTTCGTGGTCCACGATGTATAGCTTGCTGCGCTGTCGCTGCTTCTTCCCTGGCATGGGTAGTGCATGCGAGGAGTTTGTTGCTAATTGCGCTGATTGCCGTGCTGCCAGTCCTCTGCGGGGACCTGCTGCTGCTGCCTCTCGACCCGATATCCCCGGTCATCCGTGGGGCGAGGTCACTATCGACACTCTTGAACTTGGTCTCGACAAGAGTGCGACTCATCATTGTGTCTTGGTTTGCGTCGACTCATTTACGAAGTGGGTTGAAGTCATCCCTCTGCGTCGTCATGATGCCGTGTCTGTTGCCGCTGCTTTCGCTGGTGTATGCAAGCTCTGGGGTGCCCCCGACATTGTCCGCATGGATAACGGCACGGAATTTCATAATGCCATTGTGGAGTCGTTGTTCAGTCTCATGGGTGTCCGTGTGCGTACCGGTGCTGTTCGACACCCTCAATCGCAGGGCTCTGCTGAGCGTGCCAATCGTACTCTGCTCGGCCTCATCCGGAAAGTCCTCGATGGCTCTTCGGACTGGAGGGGTGAATTGGATATGCTCCTGTTTTTCTATCGCAATCGACCTCACAGTGCCACTCGCCTGTCGCCGATGGAAGCCATAGTGGGCTGGAAACCCCCTCACTTCATTATTGCCGACACCGCTGAAGCGTGTAGCCTCAGTGACTGGGCCACGAAACATGCAAAGCGGTCTGCTCGGATTCGTGATCTGATCGATGCTGAGCTCTCGGCGAGCGACTTCGTCGAAGAAGAGTCACACTGTCCCTATGCTGTTGGTGATCACGTGATGTTGCAGCGCCCAGATCGCCATCAGAAGCGCCTTGCACCCTATGAGCGTGGTTGGAAAGTGAAAGCAATCGTAAGTCCAATGACTGTGGTGATTGAAAAGCCAGGTTCGGACAACCGCCGAGTGTCCGAGAAGGTTATCAACATTGCCTTGTTGAAGAAGGATCTTCCCGATGCTGCTGATGTAGCTGCCACAGAGGCTAGCCTGAATAGTGACGAGGAAGATGACAATGGTATTGGTGTCACCATTGATGTTGCTCCAACTGGCGGATATGCGCTACGACCTCGTGGCCAGCTCCAGGCGCCAGCACGTTACCGTGTGTGAGTATGACTATGGTATCAGGGGGAGAGGTGAAGTAGAATAGTTCGCCTCTCTCTCTCCACAAGTATTTGATACCATACTGCACGTTTATTTATTGCTTCAAGTTATAGATTTTGAACTTGTACGTCGTGTTCTTCGTTTTGAGACTTTGCTTACCGTTCTGTTCTGTTATCCATACTCTGCATTCTCCGCGCCTGCTCTGTTCCTTTCTTCTCTTGCTATTATCATGTTTCCTTTCTTCTCTGACTCACTGACTGTCAACTTGTCTAGTTTTCGAATTGTTTCATTGTCCGCCAGATCGCAGAGATCGTTTCCTGCATCGTAGCTCACGGTTACTTTTCGAACACATTTTTGCGTAGGCATTTTCACGAGTTATGTTGACGTCATGCGCTTTCAGCTACGCGTCATTATTGTGAGCATGCGCATTGCTTTTGCCTTCTGCCTTATTTGCATGCTGCGCTTGCTGCAAAGGTTAGCGTCCCCACGCTTGCTGGCCGAAGCCCCATTGACCGCGCCGCGTGCGTACTCGCACACGTCAGCCGGGCTTCTCCACGTCGCCTTGCCCCGCCCCCGCCGGTTCCGTGGAGTTCCGGTTTTATTTCTCCTTGTTGATTAGCTCTCCCAAGATTGAGTTGTTGTTTTCTATATCCTTAATACCTAATTAATTCAATTCCAAGTATCAGTCCTTTTATTTACACTACTGTCGGAGTCCGCCGTTGAGAGTGCGGTGTGCATGTGCGGAGTAGTAGTGGTGAATAATTGTTGTGCGTGCGTTACACAACAACCGCTTCACTTAGCGCATCTCACTGCATAAGATTGCAACCACTGTGCTCTTTACACACTATTTCATGGAATTCAGCCTTCAGTTGAGTTTCCACAGGCTCGAGAAACATGTGATCAGCACCTCTGTCCAGGCCATAATTTAACCAGAATTAGATGGCGACCTGGGGCAGTGACGATCATGGACTTTTAAAAAAAAGGGTTGGGAAACCCTCGGTCATTAGAAACGCTGTACCCCTGTGTTGCACGTCAGCGTTTTGCACAAAACTTCGATAATAGATGAAGGGCTTTTGGAGATTCACTTGCAGCACAGTTGTATACTCACCTTGGATTCACAGTTTGCTCATTGGCAACTGGCATCAAAGGAATTCATCCCTTGTTAGTTGAACTTCCCAGTTTGATCAATCTGAAATCGATTTGCACACATACTTTGATTTTCTCTAACATTCCTCCTAAAACAGAAGACGCGTGATGTAACCGAATATTCTGGAATTACCAAGCTTGTACCAGTGACTGTATAATGTGTGTTGTTTGGATATGTTTTCATAGAAATTCAATGTCCTGCAGATCCAATGTCTCCTGTAAATGGCGCCGTGTCCGCTGGTGGTCAAAATGTTTTCACGATCAGAACATACTCGTGCAATACCGGATATCAACTATCCGGAGCAACAACAACTGTGTGTCAAACAACTGGATCATGGTCTGGGACACCACCAACATGCATTCGTCAGTATTTCTTCCTTTTTTCATTAATTCTCATACTAGATGTTTATACAAATGTGAGCTCAAATTGAGGGCCTGTAGATTGTACATCCAAAAAACAGTTGGTGGTAGGGAGAGAGTAAAAGTCAGATCCACAACGTACCTTTCTAATTTCTAGTGTACCGTACGTTCGCTCGAGAACAACCCCAGCCAAAGCCGCGGGGGGGGCTCTGACGAAGGAACCACCGACAGCAGGAGCAAAGGTGGCGCCACAAGCCGGCCCGATGAGCCACCACGCCCACCCTCCTCCACCACCGCCACCAGCGACGGCGGAGCAAGCACAGTCTGTGAGCCAGGATCCTCAGGTTGTGTAGGTAACGGTTGTTTTCTAGGTCGCCCTCGCTTCGGTCTTTGTTGTTGTGCGCAAGGTGGAAGTATGTGACGTGGTGTGTGTTGTTTGATGCGTGCGTTCAGGTGCTGAACAGTCCTACCAACATACCGACTAGCGCATTGTTGGCATTCAAAGTTGTAAATAAGATGATTAAGGTGAAGGGCTGATAGGACATCCTTCCGCACCGTAAACACACGCATCGTCGTAAAAACTGGCACAAAGTGTACTGCATAGTATGTTCGACGAACAACGGACTTGACTGCACTACAAACTTTAGTCGACTCCTGTCCTTTCCAAGGCAAACACAAATAGAGGGGACAACAAGCAGGACCAAACAAAGGAGCCTCAGTAGTTTGTTCGACTTTCAACGCCTTAGTAGTTTGTTCGACTTTCAACAACTTCTACAACAAAAACTCAGGGTACCCGTTGTTAACGAAAACTGACCTGAGAAAGTCAAGCTCTTCCTGCAGCTTACAGGGCGAACAAATACGCTTTGCACGGTCTACAAGGTTACGCAGTAAGTTTACGTTATATTGAGATGAACAATAGTGAGGTTTTGCATTCCGAATTTCGGCTCGGCGTTCTTCGGGCATTTGTCGAACATCAAAATGTCGAATTTTCGCACCAACGTTTGTTTTGCAAGTCGAAAATGATGTGTTTTCATTTCGTGAGCCCCAGCATCAGCAATGTTCTGTCCCGTGCTCCTTTTCTTGCTGATTCCGACGAATTTTGATCGCCCAAAGAGTCGAGGGCCAAACCTGCCTCCTCAGTCGCCTCAGAAAACCAACTCCATGGCCAAGTCAAATTTTATGCGTATCGCCATAGTCTTTTCAGCCACACAGATGACGGTGAGGACACTCCAGGCGAAAGAGAATAGACAGGCAGTGGAGAGGAGCAATCAGAGGTAGCTGACGATGCTGATGTCGCCAAAGACGCCTGCGAAGCCATGCCGAGATAAGAAACATCTTTGAATAAATCACGCGCTAGCGCTCTTCAACAAGAAAATTCATTCGAAAAATATGTTCGGCAAAGTGAGCTTTTTCCGAACAATCATGCCGAATCTTCGTGTGCATTTTCGACCTCGCTCCCGCGTGCCGAATCTTTTTGCCGAATTTCGGAATGCAAAACCTCGCTAATAAGAGTCATATACAATGTACTGACCAGTAAACTTCGGCTTACAATAAACGGATTTCAGAATGTCACTACTCGTTTTTTCCACCAGCACATCTAGAAATGACAACTTGTTGGACTGTTCATGCTCACATGTGAAACAAAGGGCAGGGTGAATACCATTTAACACGTCAAGAAACTCGTTACTACGCTCCTCATTATCAAAATATGTGAATGAGTCGTCCACGAAACGTACATAAAGGTCAGGCCACAACGAGTCATCAATCTTCGACTCCAAGTAACCGACAAACACGTTTGCCAATACTGAACCAAGGAGCGAACTCATCGCGACACCATTGACTTGTTTGTACATGACATTGTGGAACGAAAACTCAACCCTAGTTGTGACCAGCAATCAATGTCATCATTACGGTACAAAGCATCCATGCAGATGTCAACAGTTTCTTCAATCGGCACATTAGTAAATAAACTGACGACGTCCAATGAACACATGTCTGCGTTGGGTGGTACAGGCTTGTTGCGAAGCTTTTCGACGAAATCAAAACTGTCTTTAACAGTGCGCGATCATACAAAGACCTAAACTGGGAACAAGACTTGCACACCGTGTCACCTGACCTGGCAATCTCATCCTTTATGAAAACGCACTCGATGTTCAACGTGTGGTTTGCCTTGGCTCGGTGAACACGCTTTTCTACACCGCTAGGACATACACCATTGTCTAAACATCGTCTAAGAAAACCTACATTAAGGGTGACACTACGGTAATGAAAACGTGCTTTCAGCGTTAGATTCAGAATATCTATCTGAGGCTGGGTGTATCTCGATTTAAAATATTTGAACAAACGGCGAGGAGACAACAATTTGATAACCGCAATCAGTAATACAAGCTGGATCGACATTTGTGTACACTGTATTCATGTAATGTAAAACTGTGGAGACAATGTGCAATAACACGATGAAAATGTGAAGAAATTGTGTAGAAAAAAAAGGGATTCAAACAAGTTTACGTACAAAGCTCTTGAGGAATCTTCGTTGTACTAAAGGACACTGAAAACAAAATTGAACTATTATAGAAAATCTAAGTTAGAGAAATAACACTAAGAACAACAGCAGTGAAATTTACAAGTGTGAATTTTAACAATGAAAGCGAGAGCAATAAAGAATGTGTGTACTAACACTGAACTTGCAACTGAAAATGAACAAAGAAGAGAAAGGAAGAAGGAAGGACGAAGTGATAACAAATAACAGCAGTACATTACAACTAGAACATTACCGGCCAAGCTTGTAAGAGGACGCGCAGGGATAGAAAACTCTTATGTCAAAAAATGCATCCTCTTGCATGGACCAGAGGCCCCTCCCCTTGATGTCCAGCCTGGCCTGGGGGTCAGTGTTGGCGGCCCCTGGAAGAGCTTCACCAGCAAGGGGTTGAAGAACAGGCTCCGTCTCCACGGCATTGCACACTCTGCCAAGAAGGCCGGCAATGTAGTCCCGGACATGGTTGTGGCGGATGATGGGGAAGCCTCCACATCTGCATATCATGGCATGGTCGGTGGTGAAAGGCACACCACATAAGCAGGTGTCAGGGATACCAAGAACAGGCCACCCGTAGCGTGCAGCAAGAGCATCCTGGAATGACCGCCTGTCGAGGCTGAAGCCGTATGCAACGATGGGCAGGCACGACAGCAACTATCTTCCAAGGAGCGCAGCTCATGGACGCTGAGGTCTGCACTGATGGTGGCAGTAGTGTCGGACCACAGGGTACGGAGTTTGGCATGGCCCTGGAGCTTAGCATTGCGCACGGCGTCCTCGTCAGTGGCCAGCAGTAGGGACTGGCGCATGATGTTTGCCTGGAGCTCACTGGTGACTGTTACGGATGTGGCGTTCTGAAGTGGAGCGATAGACGTGTAGACATGGGGGTCAGCAAACCAAGACCTCCAAGGCGAGGGGGCAGCGACAGCAGCTGACACAGTGGGGGAGATGGAGGAGCTATGCCTGAAACAGCTGGGATGAACTCCTGGGCGATGACAGACTCCAGAGCTTCAAAGTCAGCAATGTCATCAGGTGTGGTTCGCATAGCATACGTCCACCTATGACGCAGACCGTGTGCAAACGCGGCGAGGGCAGACTGGGGATCAGTCTTTAAAAACTCTGTGGGCACTGTAAGCTGGCCGCACCATTCCTCCAGTCTAGCTGAGAAATGCCGTCGCTGGAACTCCTCTGTGTCGATGGCAGCGCCGAAGTATGGCCGACCCTCTGCAGTGATCTTAATGCCTATGCCGGAAAATGTCTCCTGGGCCTCTGGCGAGCTGGATGGCTTCACCACTAGCCATGTCTTGGCACCAAAAAAATAAATAAATAAAATAATGCAATTAAGAGTATAATAGATGCAGACACGGCCAGACAACAACGAGTTCATGGAATATTTAAGGATGTTTTTGTTATTCAAAATCGATTTTCGTGTTCCGCTCATCAGTGAATAGTATCGGAACTGAGGGTACTGTGTACAAAAAAGAACATTTTATAATAGCATAATTAAAAGTGGAAGACAAAAAAGACATATGGATACGAGTTAAGAGTAACTCTCCATCACTGTAACATGATACTCTATATAGTCAGAAAGTGCAATAACTAGGCACAAAACTGACAGAGTACTGAAACATCCGACGTCCTGACACCTAGCTTCAACACATCTCCGTAGCGCTAACCGACAGCCTTCCAACTTGGAAGGTTCAAGGTTATGGAAAGACCAAAGAGGGGAAGGCAAGGTCGGTTAGCGCTACGGAGATGTGTTGAAGCTAGGTGTCAGGACGTCGAATGTTTCAGTACTCTGTCAGTTTTATGCTTAGTTATTCTGTTGCTTTTCAGGCACAATCTTCCTCAGCCTACTCAAGCTCAACTGATGAGGGGTGAATTCCCCGAAACACCGTGTATTGAGCAGGGAGTGGTGCTTTCTTGCAAGTTTGCGGAGTGGAAGGTGCGACGTGCTCCTCGTGTGCTCCGGATGGCAGTCGTGAGTCAGTCAAGTGTCAAGTTCGGCAAGAAGCGTGTGTTCTTAGTTGGAACAATCAACTTAATAATCCCAGGTTCGATTAAAATACTAAGAACTATCCTTAATATGTAGATGCACCTCTGCTGCGTTTGCATGTTCAATATCTAAGAGACTTAAATACCGACTGATAAAGACTGATATTTCCTTTGTTACTCCCTTCATTGGTTGATGTACTTTACCTGTCGCTGCAAATTCTTTATTATTGTTTTGATGGAGTTCGGATTGAGTTTCTTTCCTTTCTTCCTCTTCCTTCAACTATCTCTTGTCCCTTTGATTTTTAGCATTTTCATTTTCTCACTTTCTTTTTGCTGTCCCACCCATGGAAATATTTCCCGGTGGGTCTGGCTTATCGCCTTCGAAAGAAGTGCCAGGATGGATTCGCTTGGTCCTGATCTTTCCAACGAGCCTAGGACGATGGAAATCCATCAAGGTTGAGTGAACTGAGAATAAATTTTGTTCTTAGCTGTGAGTGCGTACTCCACCAAGAGAGTCAGTGCGCTAGAAAGCCAGTGGATTGGAGAAAGGGGGCTCAGCATGCAAAGGGTTAACAAAAACTTTGAGATGGATTTTTGAAGGACTTGTTTATGCACCAACTCCTGTGAAAGGAGTTGCGATACCTTTCTCGGGATTCCATGGCATGCCATGAAAGAGATACGATGCAAAGAAAACAAATTTTCACAACTTTTCACAACAAATCGAGCGGAAATGATGGTTGTGCTGTGGAAACTTACTCGATGACGACAGCCATGGCGACGGAAACTGATATACCACTTCTCTAAGGGCATAATGCGCTGGTTGGCCTCTCACCTAATGAGCTTGAGAGTTTGAGAGTGATCTAGAGAGCAATTGTGCGGAGCAAAGAGCCCACACAATGAATGAGTGAACAAGCAGCTTTTTCGATCGCACAGCTCAATTAAAAATCTGAACTCAAGTTTTTATTCAACCTGCCCAAAGCCTAGATTCGAATGATGAGTCCCATTCATTCTTTTGAAGTCTGAAGCCCGACGTGAGTCTCTTGGCTAAGGGAAGTCTACAGGATTTGCTAGCCGCTGCCATTCAGTGTTGACAGGAGAATCCATCAGAAATAGAATAAATCTGGCTGTGCCTTTTGTCCTTGTTCCGAGGATCATTCCTGAGACTGGAGGTGAAACAAGCAAAACTTAACACATTTCTACTACTCCCTGGCGGAAACCAGTAACCACCACCGCGGTGGATTCACGCAGCTTGAAAGTCAACTTGAATGGCGCCGATATCACCAAAGTTCAACGAAGTGTGATCAAACAAGGCTAAAAAGAGCTGAAAATTGTGAGCAACCACTCTAGAGAGATGACGACTTGCGTGCAGCAGATGACAGCAGATGACATGTCATATTGAGCGAAAGCGACACAAACTGAACTCTTGGATCGTTCCGCCAACAGTTTCTCTTGTAAAACGCTGTACATCGGCTGAACTGCCTTCGCCCCGTGATTTGCAGTTGATACAAACTGTTCTTGACATGTTCTAAACGTTTTCGTTGTCAATCAAAATCCATCCCGAATGTTTTTTTAACGGGGCAGTAATGATTATACCAATATCAAATGAACCTGTTCTGAAATCTCCGCCTTAATATACCTAATGTGGACGTAGAAAGTGGTAGTACAACCCCTTTGAAAACCCAAATCGCAATTCGTATTGCCCTCTAGCCACTAACTATACTGCAACGAGTTTTGTTGTGCATGGCCTATCCTTGCCTAAACATTGGAATCCGGTTCCTCAAAATTATCCCCTAGGGCAGGTGATACCACTGCTGAAATTGCTGACGCAGTCACCGAACGCCTACAATGTCCCCACCCCATATATAGGACCAACCAGCTTTCATAGAGGGAGACACTGAGAGGGAGAGCGGGGTACACTGATTCTCACATTGGAATTCAGCATAACATCACATGTGGACTGATTGCAGTTAATAGTACATTGTGCGTGAAACGGTTTCTCTGGTGTTATGTTTTTTTTCTCCAGCTATTACATGCCCAGCACCTACAATACCTAATGGAATGGCGACACCGATTGTTGCTAGTGTGCCTCAACAGTATACAATATCCTGCTCCAGTGGATTTAAACTCGTTGGATCAAACCCTGTCACATGTCCAACCACGAATGCCTTCACAACATTTCCCACTTGCCAAGGTATTAGCATATACCAAACCATTGGGGACAAATTATTCCTCACATTTTTTTGTCAGCGACAAAAATACGTTGGACTCAGTAGGCACTCGTTGTCCTATAAACAGCCGGAAGTCCATTAGGGAGTCGAACTCGTGCTCTAGTTGTATTTCAATGACTCTGTCAAACTCATGCGGCCTTCCCTGTAGAAGGTCGAAACATTTCCAGTACTGAATCTGAGTTTGTATCAGTTAGGATCATGCGCCCGCTTCATGCGCCAAACTTTTACTGTGCATATGTACAGGATACTAGTACTAGTTTGGACTGTGCATCGGCACTCAACTAAGTACTATACTTTTAACATCATAGGCAGGAGCAGCTACAAGCACAACAGGAAACATTTTGCTGCGTTGGAGTCTTTCGCTCGCAGAGCTGAAGCCGGGATGAGACCACCACCAGCTAACGTAGTCAGGGGAAATTTTACTAGAACCTGACGGAGTGTGGAGGCCAGCTAGGTCTGGAAAATGGAAGGAAAAATCATCTGCAGACATAGTGCGGGGTCCCATTTCGAAAAACAGTCATATTAAATTTTTAGAAGTTTCCTGGCAAGTAGGAGCTCACAATTTTTTTGAGCTGTTTCTGGTTAAGTTGTGGCTGCTGAAGACAATAAAAGTATCGGCAAGCCTGTATAATTATTATGGCGATTTTCCGCTGCATACGGAAATTGCACATGTACTTGAACCCAGTCGTTCTAGAGTATAGTGGGTTTCTGCATACAGAGTCCGTCAAAAAGCCTTTGACGTTTGAAGAAAAACTTGCTCTAGAGTGTTCTGGACTCATTATGATTGTATTCTTATATTCACTGGATATTTATGGAATATTCTCGTCCTCTGCGGATGATACTATGTCGATAGTCGGCAGTTCCATAGATAGCATATCCAGTTTATAGACAATCTTCTGCTACTTGTGGCTGCAAAATGCACCTACTTTTGTATTTGTCCTCAATTCCTATGCACCTATTCAGCCATTACAAATAAAGAAACAACAACAACAACAACAACAACAACAACAACAACATGCCCTGCACTACCTGTGATTACCAGTGGATATGTCAGCGTGACTGCGGCTAGTTTTACAATTGGGGGTACCGCAAGTGTCTCATGTCTTCCAGGGTATGTAATGACAGGGACAGCCACACTCAATTGTGGTAGTGGTGGTCAGTGGCCTAGTGGTGCTTCTCTTCCTACGTGTACATGTAAGTTATTCAACTTTCTTTTTCAAACAAACCTTGAACCAGTGCTTTACCTTCATCACATTGTTGGTCATGTCTTGAAAAGCTCCTTATTTGGTGTATATATTGTACATAACATATGCATAGTTTTGAGTGCCGGGTATCATGGTCGGCAAGGTGATGTGGTGAACTTGAAACACTAGCTGTAACATAGAACAATATGCACGTGTAAGTGTTAATTCGAACATTTTTTCGGGTTTATGACAAGTATACTCGCGTACTCGTCATTGTTTTGTTGAGTTGGGAAACTCCGCTCTTCTTCCTCGCTCACCGGAGGAATTTATCTAGTCTCCTCGCGCAACAGGGGAGCAGTATTCACTGGACATTAGTGACGGGAAGATGTAACGGGAATCAATGGTACGAGCTGATGAATGAACGCTTTACGAAGGAAAAGACAATTTGCTGTCAGAACTTTCAATGTGCGGGGCCTCACGTCGCCCGTCAAGATGAACTCCTTGTGTCGAGACCTCTCTTTCGATGGCATAGACGTCTGTACCCTTCAATAAACCAAGTTATCTGCAGGGATTGACGAGCAGCGAAACGACTATCGAATTATTTGTTTGTTTTGAGAAAGTAACGTTTCTCCGCGCTCTCCTTCGGGAGAGTGAAACGTTTTTATCAAATGAAGTGAAAGAGGGAATGGAGCGGAGTGTTAGAGCATGCAGACGGCCAGTGTCATTGTGGTGTCGCGACTTGCAGCTGTTCGGCTTGTTGGTCACCCGGAGCTCCATCAACGCGGGCATGGAGCTAATTCGAGTGCGTGGCCGAGGTTGCGCTGACTAGTTGGCGGCGGCTAGCCGAGCTTGACGACTTGTACTACGGCATCAGTAACGGAGTTGCCACCCAACACCTGAAACGTAATGGCTGCAGAATCTTGGAATGTTCGAGTCTGCCTTGTTTGTTCTGCCAATGTGTCATGCAAGTAATGTCTACTCCCTGAATGTTCGGTACGTTTTGCAAATTGTCTGCACATGTGCAAATGGGTTGCCCATCTTGTGTAGCTTTCCACTACGTGGTTTGCGGCTTTAGTTATTATGGTGGGAGATCTGCGCCAAGCCAATGCTGGATTGCTCTGGAGCCTAGACGCTCTGCAGAGCCTGCAAACCATTGCCCATGACAGACTGTAATGGCGAGATATATGCATGAAGATATGTGCATCGTGATATTCCGACAGATCCTGAAACAGTTAAACTCAGCAAATAGCACTATTATTATCACTCAGGCTGCAATATTCATAATTGTAGACATATTCATAAATAACATATCTTCAGTACCCATGAGCTACTTTTTATATATTAAGATAGAATTATAAGAATTATATCATCGTTCTAGCTCAATTGTTTTCCTGTAATAGTCTTGTTTATCATGTTAAACATAAGCGAAGTGAATCATGCTTGTATGGTTGATTCCAACGCATGCATACAAGTAATAATAATAATAATGGACTCAGGTGGATTCTCTTTTGCATATAATAATAACAATAATAATTCAACAGATCAGTTGGGGAAGTGAACTGCCTGAAAAGAGAAAAAACCGCCAAAACCACCAGGATTCGAACCCAGGGACCTTGCTTGTCATGAGCAATGCTCTAACCATTGAGCTATGGGACCGGGCTGAACCTAGAAGGCGCTGACAAGTGTTTCACTCCAAAGGCAGCTCACAACATGTGCCACACAAAATGATGGCACATGGGTCTTTCTCCCTCCCCTGGAGACCATCCACAGTCAGTTTCTGGACCCTACCAGAAGTGAAAGAGAGTAACAAATGTTTGACAGGATTGGGAGAACTTCAAATTCTGGCGGTTTTTTCTCTTTCTCAAACCTTGCAGGTCAGTTTGCTTTGGAGTGTAGATCGACATTCCAAAGCCCCCGCAAAATCTTTTGAGTGGAACCAAGAAATTGGCATACCCTCAAAATTGGCTCAATATTGGCCCGATTTATGAGTCTACAAACGAACCACGGCTCAGCGCACAAGAATAAGATACAAACCAAAGTCCATCAAGCCAGCATTACCTCACCTTACAAGAGTTCTTGGGGCAGCACCACTTAGCCACGCCAGCATCCCAGAACACGAGGGCAATCATCCCTTGGTGCCAAAACTGATCGTCTTGAAAATAGCCAAATTACAAGCGCTGATAAAACAACGATCTACGGCATCAATTAGCAAACACTATACACCGGCAGACAGTAAAATACCAGTCCTCTTCTAGCACCAAGGACATGTGCCCCATCATCATTTTTGGGTTTTCTTCAAATACACAATTTTTAATTTATCCACTCGACCATGCTGAAATACGTCCCAACTCATACCTTCGTAGGAAAGCTCACCCCTCCGCGACGTCTAGTCAGCAATGTCTACTCCAACACCATTCCGAACGCGGCAGAAAAAGTTGTATCTGACAAGGAAAAGCAGCGGTGATCACTTGTCACTCCAAACGACAAGTTTCTCCTTGCGCCACCAACATTTTTCGGTGCAACAGTTGATGCAAAAGTGACTGGATTTTGTGTGTAGTTTTGGGATTCTACTGCAAAAATAAATTATGAAATCACTTGCCTCGTGACGTAGAATATTGCTTTCTGGTGCACGACACAAGGCACATGGTCACGCTTGTTTCTGAGGCGCTATTCGAAACGGGCCATGATGGAGGAGGTAAGATGCATTATATTTCTGGCATGCTCTACTCAGAACATGCGGAAAATATCGTTTTAGCGCTAGCAGTATTGCTTTGGCAAGAACTCTTTGAGATATTTCCCCTTGCAGTAAGAACAGGGATGCCTTTTTTCATACTTACTTCGCTCATCTCGAACATGGTTCAACAGGAACTACGGCTAGTTTACATGCTGATGATCGACATAGATCTGCAACAGCAAGGAATGACAGTGGTCCATGCCATCAAGATCGCTTGGAGTTGACCAGCGCGCGGCCTACAATGATTGCATGTTGTATGTGGCGAGCCCACATGGCAGATTTGTTACGTCATGAACAACATGATTTGACCCTACTCGCCCTAGTCTCTGTGTTGCATGTTGAGGGAAAGTCCCGGCTGGGGAGGCTTACAACACGACACGCCTGCTCTTGAGCTGGACATCAAGATGCACTTGATCCAATCTAGATCAACGGGTGATCCATCTAAGTGCAGGTGCGCTTGATCAAGGTGAGTCAGAACAACTGCTGAACCGTGATTTACGAGACCTGGCATTCTTGTGTCACGAGGCACGTGATTTAATCATTCCTCTTGCAGTAAAATCCAAAAACTACATGCAAAAATCCAGTCACCTTTGCATCAACTGTTGCACCGAAAAACGTTTGAGTCTCAAGGAGAAGCTTGTTGTTTTGAGTGACAAGTGATCACCGCTGCTTTTCCTTGTTAGAGTCAACAATACACTTTGTTCTGCAGCGTTGGGAGTGGTGCTGGAGTACACATTGTTGACTAGATGTCGCGGAGGCGCGAGTTTTTCTGCGCAGGCATGAGTTTGGACGTATAAAAAAAATTCAAAATGGTCGAGTGGAAAAATTCAAAATTGTTTATTTCAAGAAAACCCGAAAAGGACGATGGGGGACATATCCTTAGTGCTAGAAGAGATGTTCTGCTATCTGCCGGTGTATAGTGTTTGCTAGTTGAGGACGTAGCTCTCTGTTTTATTAGAGCTTGTAATTTGGCTATTTTTAAGACGATCATTTATTTATATATTCTTGTTTTACTAGCGACGCCTTTTTACAGGGAACCCTAGGAACATTTGATAGATGCGCGAAATTCAGCTGGTGACCTAGGCGCACGTTAAGCCAGCGGCAGTGCATTCCACCTATCAGCACCTAAGTAAGATAGTGCAATGAAACCAAATCGGGTGTTAGCATGGGATGGTGGCTGCAGTGTGGGGACCATTTGCTCGCAAGTTAAAGCGATCACACAAAAGGGAGCTAGCCAGTCCATTCAGGCAGCGATAAACAAGTACAAAAGTTTTATAGTTAAGGCGTTGCTTGAGGGTATATAAGTTTTTGTGGCTGTATAGATCAATGGGGGTCATCCTATCCAAGACAAGTATTCTTTTTAGTGCCACACGGCTGGCAGTGAGAAGCTTGGTACATATATATAGTGCTAGTGGCAAACAATGAATGTACACGGTGCTCCGAACTCTCATTTGTGGCGTCAAGGGGTGATTGCCCTGGTCGTCTGGGATGCGGGCGTGGCTAAGCGGTGCTGCCCCAAGAACTCTTCTAAGGTAATGTTGGCTTGATGGTGATTTGTTCGTAGCTTGTTCTTGTACGCTGTACCGTGGCTTGTTTGTAGGTCTATAAACCGTCCCAATATTGGACCAATATTGAGGGTAGGCCAATTTCATGGTTCCCTTCAAAAGATTTTGCGCAGGCTTTGGAGTGTCGATCTACACCCCAAAGCAAACCTACCCGCAAAATTTCAGAGGAACACAAATGTTCTGGTTTTCTCAGACAAGCTCTCTTAAGGAGATTTAACAATGACGTGTCAAAGGCAACATGACGTATGAATACAACTTTTGAATCGCTTGAATCTCAGAAGTTCGGGACAGTTTAATCCTAGTTCTACATCGAGGATGAGCCCCAAATTTACGGAAGTAGTGCATGGTCTTGATGCCAAACTGGAGCACCACAGGGACACTGATGGCGAGGTTTTTTTAATTTTTTAATTTTATTTTTTACAAAGACCACTTAATGCCAAACATGAGATGCAGCTAGGGAAAGCACAAACAACCTGAATCGTGGCAGTGGTGGTGAGGTTTAGGGAGCTCCGCCGACCTAGGGTCTTGACTTCATAGCCACCTACACGCACCAATAGTAGGTGGGGGAGGGACAGCGAGAGAGAGAGAGAGAGCGGGAGAGAGCGAGCGACAGAGAGAGAGAGTGAGAGAGAGAGCGACAGAGAGAGAGAACGAGAGCGAGAGCGAGAGTGAGAGAGAGAGAGAGAGAGAGATATAAAGAGAGAGGTAGAG